TTAAAACTTAATATATAATGAATTGAAAAGCTTTCTAACATGCTTGACTTCAAATTTGATATCACTTATTCAAACCATGAAGCAGTAATCAAGATTTGAGTATCCCCAGGACACTTAGCTTATTACTAAGCACAATGCTTTCAATAATAATTGATAAACCAAATTATACTGGTGCAACTTACTCCAGGCTAGCATCATACACAGGCATGGAGGCTAATGCCAAATTGCCAAATCAGATTAAATGAGTCCTAAAAAGGGGCTCCTCACAAAAATGTCCCTTCTCCCATTTTACCAGGATGCTCAGAATTCTAAGCATAAATGATTTCTTTCTTTGTGTTGAAGCAATTAGAACCCATCCAATACTGTTTTTAAATTCAAGTATTTCCCTTCAATATGAACTCCACATAAATATGGTATATCCATAGGATAGATTGCAATGAAGCCACTAATTAAGAACTATGTAATTCTATATTTGCTAACACAGAAAAATGTCCATGTATGCTTGTTCATGGTAAAAGACAAGTATGTATAAGTGTATGTGAAAGAAATTTATGGAAGGATATTTACTAAAATATTAATATTCATTATCTCCAGTGAAAGAACATGTGGGAGTTTTTATATTTTTTAAATAAATTTTATTTTTATATTCCCCATACAATTTCAATCCCCTTATTTTGACCCCAATCCCTCCCCTCCCCACTCTCCACCCCCCATAGAGTGTCTCTGGTTCATAGTTTTTTGTTGATTTTGATTTTTACTTTCTTATAGTTATTCATTTTCCTGGTCCGTTATTTAAGTTTTCTAGATTCCTGCTATGAGTGAGACCATCTGGTATTTTTCTTCTTCTTTCTGGCTTATTTCTCTGAGCATGATCCCTTCCAGCGCCATCCATGTTGCTGCAAATTGCATGTGTTTATCTTTTTTGATTGCTGAGTAATATTCCATTGTGTATATGTACCACATCTTCTTGATCCAGTCATCTATTTTTGGGCATTTGGGCTGTTTCCAAAGCTTAACTATTGTAAACAGTGATGCTATAAACATAGGGGTGCAGGTACTCTTTGGAATTGATGTTTCTGTGTCCTTTGGGTAAATACCTAGGAGTGGAATTGCTGGATCATATGGAAGCTCTATGTTTAGTAGGTCCAGAAATCTCCACACAGCTCTCCATAGTGGTTGGACAAGTTTGCACTCCCACCAAAAGTGCAAGAGAGTTCCTTTTTCTCCACATCCTCGCCAACATTTGTTGTTACTAGTTTTTTTAATATGTGCCATTCTCACTGGTGTAAGATGGTATCTCATGGTAGTTTTGATTTGCATTTCCCTGATTACAAGTGATGTTGAACATTTTTTCATATGCCTATTGGCCATTTGCATTTCCTCTTCAGAGAATTTTCTTTTTAGCTCTTCTGCCCATTTTTTGACAGGATTATTTTCTTTGTTGTTGTTGAGTCTCATCAGCTCTTTGCAGAGTTTTGTGATCAGTCCTTTATCATTAGTGTTGTGTGCAAAAATGTTCTCCCAGTCGGTGGGGTTTCTCTTTGTTTTGGTTATTGTCTCTTTTGCTGTGCAGAAGCTCTTTAAGTTGATGTAGTCCCAGCTGTTGATCTTTGCCTTCACTATCACTGCTTTGGGTGATGTGTCTGTAAAGATGTCTTTGATGTGCATATCACATAGTGTTTCACCTATATTTTCTTCTATGTATTTTATGGTTTCAGGTCTTATGTCTAGTTCTTTAATCCATTTTGAGTTGATTTTTGTGTATGGTGTGAGGTAGTGGTCAAGCTTCATTCTTTTGCATGTAGCGACCCAGTTTTCCCAGCACCATTTATTGAACAAACTTTCTTTGCTCCAATGCATAGTCTTTGCTCCTTTGTCAAAGATTAGTTGACCATAAATCCGTGGGTTTATTTCTCGATTTTCTATTCAATTCCATTGGTGTATCTGTTTTGATGATTATGGCTTTGTAGTATAGTTTGAAGTCTGGGAGTGTGATGCCTCCATTCCCTTCTTTTTTTTTCAGGAGAGCTTTGGCTATTCGGGGTTTTTGGTGATTCCATATGAATTTCATCAATAATTGTTCTATTTCTTTGAAGAATGACATTGAAATTTTGATTGGAACAGCATTGAATCTGTATATTGCTTTTGGTAGGATGGCCATTTTAATAATGTTTATTCTTCCAATCCATGAGCAGGGGATGTCTTTTCATTTCTTTGTGTCTTCTTCTATTTCTTTTAACAGTGTTTTATAGTTTTCTTTATATAGGTCCTTTACCTCTTTTGTTAGATTTATTCCCAAGTGTTTGATTTTTTTTGTTTCAATAAAAGGGATTTTTTTTTGATTTCTTCTTCTTCAGATTTATTGTTTGTGTATAGGAAGGCTACTGACTTTTGCATGTTGATTTTGTATCCTGCCACTTTACTGAACTGATTGATGAGTTGAATTAGTTTTTCTGTGAAGTTTTTGGGGTTCTCTATGTTTATTATCATATCATCTGCAAATAGTGATAGTTTGACTTCTTCTTTTCCTATTTGGATTCCTTGGATGTCTTTCTCTTGTCTTATTGCTCTGGCTAGGACTTCCAGTATTATATTGAAAAGCAGTGGTGAGAGTGGACATCCTTGTCTTGTTCCAGATCTTAATGGAAATGCTTTCAGCTTTTCACCACTGAGAATGATACTGGCTGTTGGCTTGTCATATATGGCCTTTATGATGTTGAGGTATGTTCCTTGTATCCCAAGAATTTCAAGGGCTTTTATCATGAATGGGTGTTGCACTTTGTCAAAAGCTTTCTCAGCATCTATTGATATTATCATATGGTTTTTATATTTCTTTTTGTTGATGTGTTGGATAACGTTGATTGATTTTCGGATGTTGAACCATCCTTGTGTCCCTGGTATGAATCCTACTTGGTCGTGGTGAATTATCTTATGGATACATTGTTGAATTCTGATAGCTAAAATTTTATTGAGGATTTTTGCATCAGTGTTCATTAGGGAGACTTGCCTGTAGTTTTCCTTTTTTGTGTTATCCTTGTTCAGTTTTGGTATTAGTGTGATGTTGGCTTCATAGAACGTGTTTGGTATTGTCCCTTCCTTCTCAATTTTTTGGAAGAGTTTGTGAAGGATAGGCACCAATTTGTCTCTGAATGTTTGGTAGAATTCATTTGTAAATCCATCAGGTCCTGGGCTTTTGTTTTGGGGGAGGTTTTTGATTACTATTTCAATTTCGCTGCTGGTAATTGGTCTGTTTAGTGTTCTATTTCTTCTTTATCTAGCTTTGGGTGATTGTAGAGTTGTAGGAATTTGTCCATCTCCTCTAGATTGTTGAACTTGTTTCCATATAACTATTCCTAGTAGTTACTGATTATTCTTTTGATTTCTGCTGTGTCCGTTGTGATTTCTCCTCTTTCATTTGTGATCCTGTTTATTTGTGCTTTCTCCCTTTTTTCCTTTGTGAGCCTGGCTAGGGGTTTGTCTATTTTATAGATTTTTTCGAAGAACCAGCTCTTGGTTTCATTGATCTTTTGGATTGTTTTTTAGTTTCAATTTCATTTATTTTTGCTTTTGGTTTATTATTTCTTTTCTTCTACTGATTTTGGGGGGGTTTTGTTGTTCTTTTTCTAGATCTTTGAGCTTTGAGATTAGGTTGTTTCTTTGAGTTCTTTCTTGTTTCTTGATGTGAGCCTCTATTGCTATATATTTTCCTCTTATTACTGCTTTTGCTGCATCCCATACATTTAGGAAATTGGTGTCCTCATTGTCATTCAATTTAAAGAATTTTTTAATTTCTTCTTTGATCTCATTAGTCCAGTGGTCTTCCAGTAGTGTGGTTTTCAATCTCCATGAAATAGGAGAGTTCCTTGCCTTCTTTTTATGGTTTATTTCTAGTTTGATGCGTTCATGGTCAGAAAAGATGGTTGATATGATTTCAATCTTGGTGTATCTGTTGATGTTTGTCTTGTGTCCCAGTATGTGATCGAACCTGGAGAATGATCCATCTGCGCTTGAGAAAAATGTGTACTCCGTTTTTTTTTGGGTGTAGTGTTCTATAGATGTCTGTTAAGCCCAAGCGCTCTAGGTCCTTATTTAGAGCTTTAGTGTCTTTACTTATTTTTTGTCTCATTGATCTATCCATTGCTGATAGTGGTGTGTTGAAGTCTCCCCATGTGGGAGTTTTTAAATCTTTTTTTTTTTAGATTTATTTATTTATTTATTTATTTATTTATTTATTTATACAAGCACTGGGTACAGTCAGAAGCGCAGGAGGGGGCGAGAATTCACCAGAGCCAGAGCGGGGAACAGAACAGGCAGACTGATGAAATACACTGCTGAGGGGAGCAGTGGGCACGGCAGGAGAGGTATGCACACCATGTGGGACCCTCGCCGGCAGCCAGGGATCGAACCAGCGCTGCAGAGGCTGCAGGCAGTTTCGCAGTCCAGTGCTCAACAGCTGCACCACCAGAGGAGGCCTGAGTTTTTAAATCTTTATGTATCTATTGTTTATTTGTACAATGGAGATATTTTTTAAATTTAATAACAAGTAAGACAATCTACATTTTGATGAAAATAAAAATGAAAACATCCCAGAAAACCACTATGCCTTTAGCATACAGTATGTTTTAAAGAGCATGGGAAAAGGGTTAGAGGCAGGCTAGAACAAGAGGTCTCCTGGATTAAGCAATTTAGGATTAGGTATTATACGGGGGAGATTGCAATGGAGAAAAATCGATAGGCAAGGGTAGGTCCATAACAAACCAAAAAGGTAAAGGCTCACAACAATCTATATAAACTCAGAGTGTATCTTAAATTAAGCACAATTCCTGTTTTCAGTATTATAAGAGGAAATATGTCCTGACAAATGATGTACCCTCTCTCCCTACGCTAGGTCCAGAATTCAATGACAGGTATTTTCTCAAAATACACATCTAACAGATTACAATTCTTTAAATGTATATACTCAAAAACTGAAAAGAAGAATGACACATTAAACCACTCACCTCCATGGAAAGACAAGTCTCTACGTGAGCTGATATTTCTGGATGTGACATCACGGTCCCATTTTTAATTTGAAAAGATGTTTTGCACATATAGCCATCAGAACAGTCCTGTGTTCCATCACCAAAGAATACAAAGAAAATGCCAGTTATTTTCATAATCCATCATTCTGAAACACACAATTTTGCAAAGTTCCAAAATGAGTAATGAAAACAAGTATATTAAATGAGATTATATGGGTAAAGAAACTTATTCAAAATTCCCTGCACACTGCAGGTAATCAGTAAATAGTTTTAGTATTCTACATTCTTCTCTTAGATTATAGCTTCACCCTGTTTTTGCCCAAACAGTACATAGCACTGAAATCACTGAGCACATCCTTTTTTTCCCTTAATTTTTGCACATCACTTTTCATCACTCGTCCCAGCAAAACACAGAGAAGAATAGACTTTGAATAGAATTTTCACTCCCAATTGACTCATACTCTTGACCTTCTTATTACCTCATGCCAAACAGAACCCTGTAAAAAAAAAATTAAACTAGGTCTTATAGTCCTGCTTTTGTTAGCTAATAAGAATTCAAATTTATAGAAATATCTTGTCACATAATTAATATGGATTTTGATGCATATATATAGAGGGAAATTTTATTCCTAGATTTTGCTACACATCTTGAAGCTGGAAGGGATCTTCCATTTCAGTTTGTCGCTCAAGCAAAAATCTTCCTTAAAAAAAGTCCAGTGGGTTATTATGCAGTACCCCCTGAGCACTTCAGGAACCTTCACTTTTCCTCCTTATACCACCACCACCTCCATGGTGCACTGGTCATTGAAAAAGTTTTGTCTTATATTGCATCTGATTTGTTCTAGTTCTGTCTTCTGGAGCCTACCTCTTTTGCATAGTTGTTCTTCAAAGAATTGAAGTTATTGACCATCGTTTTCAAACATGCCTTGATTTCCAAGCTTCTCACTAGTTGGATTTTGCTTCTTTCCCTTTAACTTGCTTTTAAATACACTAATGAATGATGTTTATCTCATTGTGATCAATTCCATCTTCTAAGGCAAAACTTACTTGAACTTAATAACATCATGTATAAAAATGTAATAACTCCCAAGCACAAACATAGTAATTCAATGAATGATTATTGTCCTACCAAACTGTCACACTAACATTCACATTTTAACAGAATAAATAACAATTAAGGAGGAAATAGTCACTTGATCTGAGATAGTAAGAAATAAAGAATAGCATTCCAACTGAAAAATTCATAATTCATTTAAAGAATTTCACCAATTCCAAAATCTAGGTATTTACTATAAAACAGAAAAAGTTGTATAGTGTTTGTGATGGATTTCATATTGAATATTTTTAAGAACTTGTGCCATGCCGACTGTATAAGAGTATTTGATTTTCAGTAACTGTACTGTGCCTCCTTGCCCCAAAATTCATGGCCACCATGAACCTGCAGATATAACCTTATTTGGAAATAGAATCTGTGCTGAAGTAATCAAGTTAAGATGTGGTCATACTGGAATAGGGCAAACTCTGAGTGCATTATGACATGTCCTTAAAAAAAGGAAAATTTGGCTACTGAGACACAGACACATAGGGGAGAAGGGCATAGGAAGACCAAGGCAGAGACCATAGTGATGCACCTACAGGTCAAAAATTGCCATAAAGTACCAGAAGCTATAAGATGAAAGGAAGGACGTTTTCCCTGGAGTCTTTGAAGGGAGAATGGCCCTACCAACACCTTAACTTCCAACCTCTACAACTGTAAGATAATAAATATTTATGTTTTAGGTCAACTAGTTTGTGGCACTTTGTTACACTTTTTCCTAGGGGAAGCCCTAGGAAACTAATACAGTGACGCTATTTTCTAGGAGATCTGGCAGCACCTTTACAATGCCTCCTAGTTGGCTAGGCTGACATCTCACCAGCAACTACACTGAAGTCCCACTGGCTGAATGTGATCAGAACCAGTTCTGATTTGTTGGACCCAATTCATTCCAATTCATTGATACCATGGTCACAGATTGTTAAATATCTTAAATATTATTACTGCTTGTAAGTAAACTATGAAATGCCCAATACAACCACCTTTTATTATTTCATTAAGTTTTTGCAATTGTAGATGGAATTATTGTTTGAAATTCTAGTTCTACATCCTTCAATCACAGAGCATACCCTTTAATAGAATTCTACCACTGAGATCTTTGTATTTAGACAATGAAAATGATTTTTAAACATTTAATACTAGCTTAAATTAAGAAAGATATATGTAGTGGCAGTTGTTGCTGCTTTTTACATCAAGTATCATTCTGCTTTCTTTTGGGACAATAGCCAAGTTTCCTCTAAGGAATCACTCCCTTCTCCCTAATAAGTGAGGATATGACCTCCCAGCTCCAGGATTGGTCAGAGAATTCTGAACTGGCCAATCAGGGCACCATTCCAGCTGGCATCAGAGACTTGAGAGGGCAAATGATTCAATCTAAGCCAATAAGATGAGATTCAGGACTTTGTTTAAATGAGGGGTGGGGGAGTTGTTCTCTTTTCTGCTGTATTTGAACCAGAAAGACAAAATGCTGTCAGTTTTGGCTTCCAGCATATAATTAAATGAAGTCTGAGAATGATGTCATTGCCAAGGAAAGCAAGGTCATGAAATGCAGAGACCAGATCCTGATTACACTATTTATACCGGCCATACCGGAAGCCAGTTCTAACCCCTTGAATTTTTTAACTACATGGCCCCAATAATGGGTTGGGTTTTTGTTATTTGCAACCAAAATAACCTTTGTATAAAAAGACATATATTGTGTTTTATTAGCCTGGAAGATTTTGTACTATATTGTATACAATTCTCATTATTATAGATAACCAATAGTTGAATATATAAAATATTTACCAAATATAATGAAACCATAGTGGCATGTGTTCGTGGAAAAAAAAATACTGGAAGTCTACAATTTAAAAGTGATCTAGTCTGCTCATTTTTTGATTGGGTTATTTATTATATTTTTTTGTTGAGTTGTATTAGTTCTTTGTAGATCTTGGCTATCAGGCCCCCTTGTCAGATGTAGATATGCAAATATTTTCTCACATTCAATAGGATGTCTTTTGGATACTTCTCCAAAGAAGACATACAAATGGCCACCAATAGGCACATAAAAGATACGCATCATCAATTATCATCAAGGAAATACCAATCAAAACCACAATGAGTTACCATCTCACACCTGTGAGAATGGCCCATATTAAAAAAATGCAGAAACAACAAGAGTTGACAAAAATGTAGAGAAAAATGAATTTTCATACACTGTTTGTGGAAATGTAGACTAGTCCAGCATCTATGAAAAACAATAGGGAGATTTCTCAAAATACTAACAATAGATCTACCATATGACCCAGAAATTCCACTCCTAGTTATCTACCCAAAGAATGCAAAACAATAATACGAAGGGACATATGCACTCCTATGCTCACTGAAGCACTATTTACAATAGCCAAGCTCTGGAAACAAGAAAGTGCTAAGAGATAGATGAGTGGATTAGGAAGATGTGGCATATATACACAATGGAATATTATTCTTTAGCTATTAAAAAAAGATAAACTCTTGTCATTTGCAACATCATAGATGGAACTGGAGCGGATTATGTTAAGTGAAATAAGTCAGAAGGAGTAGACAAATACTGGATGATGTCACTTATATGTGGAATATAGGGAAACAAAACAAAGGGCCACATAAAATCAAACAAACAACAAACATTAGAAATCTGATGGTAGAACTCAGGCTACCAGCAGGTTAAGGGAGAAAGGAAAGAGCAAAGTTGGGAGGGGGCACATGGGACTATGGTAGAGAACTTTTGGTGCCTTGATGGTGGGTATGTTTTGGTAACCTGCACCTGCAGAGTGTGATCCTATATCTCTAAATCAATGCTGTAAACCAATGTTACTGCAATTTAAAAAAATAAGTACAAATAATCTATCAGTAGAGGAAAAAAAAAACAAAAATTCTTACGATATTCAAAGAACAATTAGAATTAAACTGTGCACTGAATATAATTTGTCAAGTGAGGGTAACTGTTTTATTCCATATTTTCTATATGTGAGCTCTGGCCATACCACTTTAAACCTATTAAGGGAAGCTATATTTTTATAAAACTCTAATTACAATGCATAATACATCTCCTTTGACATCAAAAGAAGTTGAGCAAAATATTCCTCTGCGTTTATGTAATAAAATCTATATAACTATCTGGTCTGTTTTCCAATGAGTTAAGATGGAGAACTATGTCATTTTTAACACTGTACATAATTTAAGGGATTTCAATTTCTATTTTAGGTAATTTCTGAGACTGTTTATTAGTCTCCATAAGCAAGTGCACAAGGGTTTTTGATCATACTATATTTGGTCATGGTGATTTTCTTTTTCAGTATCAACCTCTTAATCTTTTCAAGATTAACCTTGAAAAATTAAATGTAGAAAAAGGACAGTTATAGCATCTTACTTCTCTTCAAATGTTTACTTCCATAGAAGCAGGGCTTTCACCTGTATTGTTTTAATTTCAGGGAGGAAAGTAAGTTTTTTCCTTTGCCGTTAATGGATGCCTTTGTAAAGAGGAGTAAACAAAATAGCATGAAAGCCTCCACCCTGAGCACTACAGTTGATATGGTTAAAATGATGTTATGTTAAAATGATGTTTAACTCAACTCTCCCTCCCAACTATTCCAGCAGACACTCAACCCTAGGTTCCTACATTCCTTTAGTCCTTATGACGGCATACAATTTAACTCATTTTTCAGTTTTTGAACATGCATTACTTTTATTTCCACCAGTGGATCTTAAGTTCGGGCCCTAGACACCAGCCCTGAGCAGAAAGGCCTGGTAAGGGTCCCTAACTGTGGTATCCAGACTGAATTTTCACATAAAAACCTGATCCTGTGCAGCCTGCAAACACACTGTGCCAGCACAGGAGGAGGCAGAGACAAAGGGAACAAAGTTCAACCCTCTTGTTCTACAGATGAGAGTGAAGGACTGAAGTACTTTTAAGAGTCTAGTCTTAGAGCTAATTAGGGGCAGGGCTGGAAGTGGACACAGGTCTCTTGACCCC